GAAACTGTAGACAAAACCAGAATTACTTTTCTGTTCTCTTGCTCATTCAAAAGTGCCTGGAGTTCGTGACTATGTGGGAATCTCTAGAAGGTGTGAGGGATCCCCTGTCTGTAGGCATGCATCTACAGAAACGGCTTATCATTTCTGGATGCATTCCGAGCATGTGCCTTCACTTTAGGAATTATGTGGACGTGGACTTTATTCCCCCAGTTGCCAATCTCGAGAGGACTTTTAGGATACTTGGAGGAAAATCTATGCTGAAACAAGGGCTATATTTTTTTCCAGAAAAATCCTTAATAGTGCCGTAGTTTGAACAGTGAGAAAAAAAGTCGTTTTTCCTAGGTCTGTTGCATTCTTATGTGAATACTGGGCAGATACTATTTCTTTTTTACTCAATCCTTTTCACCAGTGGCAGGGAGTTCACCAGTGACAGGGACAGGCTGAATTAAAAACTGGAGGGGGTCATGCCTAACTGTGTTTCAGAAGGGTTCGTCTTAAATCATGTAGTAAATTCTGTTGTCCTGTTCAGATGGGAAACAAAAAGAAGTGGTTTTCACATATGATACGAAGACCTCTGCGCTGACACTGAAAAATTTAGCCCTGAGTGTTGCTGCTGACTGGAAGATTTGCATCAACTGAAAGAGGACACAACTTCTGCAGAGAATTCATTGAGAAGCTGAGAGGAAGTCAGTACGACTTAAAACGTGAAGTTGAATCCAGTCGAATCAAGAAGCATATTTCCCACCAACACCCCCAAATTAACATTTCCTACAATTTTCCTTTAAAGCACTGATTTAAATTTGGATTCAAGCAAAAGTTACAGCACTAGGATTGTATCTTTGGGGAAAAAAGCTAACTACTGTCTGCTCCAGGCTAGCTTTGGTTAGGCATTAAGACTGAATTCTACCTTCACTTGCACCAAAAAATTCATAAATAGATGGGGTGAGATTGTGGCTCATTGGCATGGGGTTTAATGTAAATATTTAGACATCCCAGTGTTCAGTGGAGTGTTTGAGCAGATCTGGGCCAGTTTGACAGGCAGCATCAGTAGATATACCAGATACAGAGGTTTACCAGCAGAGTTCTGCCTGCAAGCTGCCTTGTGAAAACAAGCACAGAAGGAGCCACCCACTGTTATTACAGACACTTCCCCTTTCCAGTCCTTATGACAATGCAAAATTAGGTAGTCTGCAAGAAAGTAAACAACAGGCTAGTTAAACAGTTTAGTCACTGAAGGTAAGGTTTGAGTAGGTTGTACCAGTCAGCTGGATGATAGTAAAAGACAGTGATGTGGGAGTGCAGGGAGTTCTCTCCAACAGCTGGCTTTGAAACCGGCATTTGGATTTTGAAAAGGCACGAGTATGTGCAATACTGACTTAAGGTAGCAGTTAGGCAGAAACATTTTCCATGTTATTGCTCCCCATTCTCTGCAAGTACTACTTTAAAAAAGCCTTTTGTTAGGAAAGAATTGGCATTTTTGGATGATTTAATGTCTTTGATTACATACAGTCCAGTGAAGCAACTGTGCTTATAGAGAGCTCTTCTCCACATCTTCCAGCTCTTGCCAAGGTTTGGCTTTCTTTGCACTTACTTTAGTAATTTCTTGGTCAGTTTTTATTATCTGGCTGAGAATTGAGCTTGGTATTTATAAAGCAAATTTTTAATGGGATTAGTTCTGCATTTAGCCATCCGACCTCATGCCTATTCACCCTAATGTTCCCTTGCCTCCTTTTCACACCATCTCTGCAAACAGAACCAGTGTGTCCTGATGCTTTCTTCTCTTTCAAAACTAGGAGGCATCCCAAGTGCCACATCCCCTATGTCCTGCTTATTGCCACAGCCCTTTCCATATCAGACATCTCTTTTTGCAGGCTACAATTGCTCCACAGCTCAAGTTGTTTGCCCTTTCCATTTGCTACACTTGTCAACTATATTATTTTAAAACCATTTCTGCTTTGAGTCAAACCTGAACATGGCATCTGTTGAGTTTTGGGAATATAAAAGGGAAAATTTACCTAAATTCTTTTAACAAGGTAAGGAAGTATATTCTGGAAACATCAGTAGATGAACTCTTAGGAAACAAAGGATTGTCACCATTTTTACCAACTAAAGGTATTGTAACAGTCCATTTGTACATTGTTCCCCACTCTTCTTACTGAGTTCTCCCTGTGCTTGGTCAGTCATTCCCACCTGCTGCTGTTTGTCCTCTGCAGGGCAGATTTCTGGGAATAGGAAGCGTGAGAGCAAACTGTGAGTACTCTGCTTTGACTATCAGGCACAGTTTGTTCCCCACCAGACCCTTAGGTTCTTCTGCAGAGTTCCTCTATTTGTCAGCCCCTTCTAGCAGACCATGTGAGTCTCTGCTCCAGGAACTGGCAGCCTAAATGCTGCTGTGCTTAATGCAGACAAGATAATCCAGGTAGAACAGTAGCAAATAGATCTTTTACATCTGTAACAAGAGAGACAGACCCTATTTTTGTGACAGATCCTATTTTTCTATCTGCTTCTAAGCATAATTGACAGTTGCTTCTTATGTTTAGCATTTTAGTGAAATGTTTTAACTGGTATTTCTGAAATTGGAAAGTAAGTGAAATAAAGTAAAATGAAGTGAGTTACATGCGTTATTCCTTCCCAATACCTCTCTACTGTTGAGAATAACTACTAAGTATTCTTCTAAGCGTATCTGATTGAAGTGAATGACTCTTCTTTTATACTCTGGCTTTCACTATGATAACTGCAGTACAGTAAGTAGTGGGTCAAATTTTCAGTGGTATGAAGTGCCTAATTTCTATGGATTTCAATAGGAATTGGTTCTGAAAATTTTAAGTAGTTGTGTCTTTAGATCCAAGGAAATAAATTCCAAAGAATACAATTTGTATTGATATTTGTAGCAACTGATACCCTTTTGCACATATTTATACTATAAATCAAGAAAGAAATGTATAGAATATCTTAAAAAAATAATAATTCAATCAGTGAAAACAACTAGAGATAAAACTTCAAAAAAATGTAATAGAAATATTATCATCCATGTTGCTCACTTTTGCTCTGTCTGAACAGGTCAGCTATTGGGATACTTCTGCTTTAAACAAATTTAGCTGCAAAAGGTGGTTTAATTCATAAGGGCAAAGGTGTGTTTTGCGGTTCTTCCCAAAACAGAGCTCTGTGTACAAGGAGTAATAGATTATTTCTTTTATTGGGCAAGAAGGAAGAATATGAAAGAAAGAACATATGTGCAGGCTCCAAAATGAGTATTTTTTCTGAAGCTGTGCAGCAAGAGGTCCTTGGATCTCACTTCTTGCATTGCTCCTGAAATATCCTGGAAAGTCTGACACATGGCTCTGCCAAGCTGTCCTGCAAAGCAATGTCAAATATGAAACCTTCAATCCTTGCACCTAAATGTACTGAGGAAGTCATCAATTCTGCATCGGGGCAACCCACCCTGAAGTGATTGAATTTCTATTTCCACGAACAGTTGAATCCATCTCTTCTGATAGCCCTGTTGGTGCACGAAGGCTTGTATTCATGATAAAAAGAAAAGGATTTAGGCCATTGTTAGAAGATTGAGGATTAGTATTCCTAGAGGTTAGTCAAGCTTGCCAACTATATTGTCATTGTTATAAGTTCCCCTAGTGGAGTTTTTTTAATGAGCTGTAGAGATTTTCCATTGTGCTCTTGATTTTAAATGCCTAAGCCAAGCAAATAGCTGAGAAAGAAAAGAGAATCACTGGTTTTGAAAACACCATAGTACTAGGGCAGAATGTCAGTAATGTGTACATGAGCCAGAGACTAGTGGCATCAGGCAAAAATAACACTGATGTCATCGCATGATTTAAGAACTTCCCAATCAAAGTGAAATCAAGCTGTTAGGAGGCTTTTCTTGACACAAACAACGTCACCTTTAAAGAACTGGGTTATAGAGAAGAGCAACATGTGTTTAATTTTTCTTTCACTGAGACTCTGAATTTGTCACTCATCCCACTGTTGCGTGACATTAAATGTGCAAAGTCAGACATATCTTCTAAGATTGGGATATCCTAGCACACAGAAAATGGCCCGGTTTCCACACTGGGCCCTGTCTAAACTTTTCTGCCCCTGTATGAAAAGATGCCTTTTACATGGGAGGTAGCTATCACTAAGTGAATCTTAGTGCTGGTGAGCTGCTCTCTAGAGAAGCCAGGCACTGACCTGCCTTAAGTAGCATCAAATATTTACGTTTTTCACAATTAGGTGTTTATCTTCAGATAATCCTAGAATGGTTTCAGTTGGAAGGGACCATAAAGATCATCCAGTTCCAAAACACCTGCCACAGGCAGGGATACCTCCCACTAGACCGGGTTGCTCAAAGCCCCGTCCAACCTGGCCATGAACACTTCCAGGGATGGGGCAGCCACAAATTCTCTGCTAGTAAAAATTTCTATATATCTGACAGGATATAATTACTATGTTATTGTTTTCTGCAGCAAAGGGTAGAAACAAGTCAAATAACAACAGTTCCTTCAGGAGGGTCAGGACTAGTTTATTGGCTGGCAGTACTTTATCATCATGCTCCCAAAGCAGCAGTTCAGCTTCCAGTTTCACTGTTTTCTCTGCATAAGAAGAAGATGTGTTGCTTGAACCAGGAGTCAGCCTGCACACAGAGCCTGTCCCAGGATGTGCCTGGGCTTGGCACAAGCTACACAGAAGAGTGACACCATCTCACTAACCCCCTCCCTCTTGCTTGCCCTCCCTCTCACTCTTTGCCTCTAGTTATATTTAGATCACACGGGTTAAAGCTTGTCCCTTCTGGACACTCACACACACATGCTGTAGATACGACAACCCAGGCACAGGAGTTAGCCAACAGATTATCTCATTCCACATCAAGGAATAAATTCTGATTTCTGATGACAAAATCCTGCCCTTCAAGAGGAGGCACAACATGCTCAACCACATGGAATTTCGCTGCTTGCAAATTTGACTTGGAGACTTTCAACAGATAGAAAAAGCAACTTCCTTTTCTCAGATTTCCTTCCAGTTTGCAAGATCTTGCTTTCTTTCAACACTTGCTTTAAGCCTGGTTCCCATGCCGTCCGCCATCAATGCAGCGGTGGCTCAGCAGACAGCTACTGGGTCAGTTCCCAGTGCTATTAGCACTGCTACAACTGAAGGTGCGGGTGGGGGCACAGGAGGGATTTATTCTGCAATTATAAGTCGCAACCAGCCCATTATCAGAGTAAAGGAGAAGACCTATGAAGAGCTTCACAAGAAGTGCCTGGAGAAAAACATTCTCTACGAAGATCCTGATTTCCCACCAAATGAATCCTCCCTCTTCTATAGCCAGAAAGTCCCCATCAAGTTTGAATGGAAAAGACCACGTGTAAGTAACATGTTGCCTTTTACTTGTGTTAAATTTAAGTGCTCACCTTGAGCTTACATTTTGGCAAAAAGGTGTGTGTCAGGGGGACAGGGACAATAAGCTGGAAATGTATTTCCTTGGGGCTTTCCTGGAAGATAACTAGCTAGGCCTGCGGAGGCTCAAAGAGTGTGTGTACAATGACTAAAATACAATAAACTGAAGTGAAGTAAGAGATGGAATGAAATACGTAGAAAAGGAAATATGAAATACAATTTTCTTCTTGCATGATTTCCTAGGGATTTTCTTGTCTGAAACTGCCCAAGAAAAGCTCTCATCATTGTGCAACAAGTTATTTGGTTTGCTGAAGCTTGATTTTTAAACACTACCTTATTTCTCTTACAACTGTACTTTTCCTAATCTGTGAAAACAAAAGGACAGGTTATGGTCTGAAAAGCAGTTTTATTCAGTTGTTTGCTCTCAACATTGCTTAGCTGACTTGCAAAGGTTGTTTTGCGTATTATCCACTTATCAGGGATGTGGGTGTTGTAATCACTACAAATAGCCACTCTGCCTAAATAATGCCATCTCTCTTTCCTATCTCATGGGTATTTCACAGCCAGCCTTCCTCTTCTTTCCCACCCTGAGTGACTCTCACAGGCAGAGGAATAACTCCCCAATTCCCAATTGATTCCCTGTCCTATGCATCCTCTTTCCCTGTCACTTTTGCTGGGCAGTTGCTCCCCTCCAGTGCGGCAGCCCCCAGTACACTGCCCTCTCCTTCCAGCAGCAAGGATATAGTTCTGAGGAGCTTCCCCAGCTCCCTCTCTGGCAATTTTCGGCTACCTCTTCTAGCTATACCGTGCTTCCCAACACCCAAATCTGTGCTTCAATGGCAAAGACAGTGCTGGTAAACCTGATAGATAAAACTAACCACAGGAGTGTAACTGAATACCCAGACCTCCCGTGGGTAGCTGTTACAGATGCAGAGGAAGGCCACGTGCTGCTGTCACAAACTGCAATGTGGAGGGAGCAACATGAGTCCCCCATCTGCCATGTCCTGTGTCTATGTGCTTTGTAATGCCTTCATCATCACAATTGCTGCATCAACCCCTGGAAATGTGTGTGAATGAGTTAAATGCAGCCACAAGTGAATCATCTCAAAGGGATGAGACTTCCCCTTTCTCTACAAAGTGAAGTGAGGTAGCAGTACAGTGGAAGAGTGCCAGACGGGGAGACACGCTACAGGCATGCTTATGAGAAAGCATCAAAACATTAAGAAAAGCACCATGTAACCTCACACTATTATAAATGAGCATGCACAGATCAAGAGTTTGGTTTTGGGAAGGTTCAGGCTTCAGGATCTCTATTGCAAAGACTTGAAGCCACTTGGTAACAAACAAGTTTGGAAGTTCTATACTTACTCATGTAGCAACAACAAGCTGGGGATCGTAAGGCTCAAAACACCACCTAAACAACAAACCTAAAGCTATCTATGTTCTTTTGATATAAGTATTCAGTCACCTGATGTATCTGTGGTGCTGGGTGCAGGTAGAGCAGGACATCCAGAGCACTGAAATTTGTGCCTACCAAATAGTGGCATGCTAGACCCTGATAGTGATGGCTGACCTGCTGGGGACACAGCGGACCTGATCCATAGGGACGCCTCTGCCTTCTGCAAATGTGTCTGGTTTAAAATAAACCCTGTAATTTGGGTCACTGCTGTACCCAGCAGGTCCCTACAGGGAAGAGACTCATAATTATAACACCTTCTCTTTTTATAAGGTGTCCCCTGCCTTGTCATCTATACCACTGATGTCAGACTGACCCAGGACTTTGCTTCACTGGACTTTGAAACTGTATGTTCTATAGCACTGGTAGGAGGGCTTGTCTGACAACACTATATACACCAATAATATAATAATAGACACATTAACAGAACATTGCAAAGTCAAATGAATATGAAGTAGTAATACTGGGCTAAAAAGTATTTTGCTAAGAGATTAAAGCAATCATTCAATAACCAGATGTAAAGATTCGACTGCATGGCCACATTTTGTAATAGTCTGTGAAGACAGACAACTTCTGTTACTAAATTGCAATGGCATTTCTTGGGGAAGGAAAGCAACTAGCTCATAAACTATACTCTTATAAAGTGGTAATTTTTAATCACTTTGAAATTCAGGTGAAACTTGAATTTACTCAAACTTGATAATGTGTTCTGAAAGAAAACAAACTATCAGACAGCTCAGAAGTCCTGAGAGAATATCCTAATACTGGCTTCACTCTAGATCCTTTCCCTGATTTCTGTCACATATTGTATGTGCCACGTACCCCCAGAAATATCAAATAAATGTCACTGGTGTGCTCTGAGATCTCATTTACAACAAGGGAGCTGGGAAATAGGCAACCTGATCCTGACTGCTTCTGTCCTCCTGAGTCACTTTAGTCATGCCACCTAATCGATTTGTACCCAAGCTCCACCCTACCACGAGACTAATGTATGAGAATATAGTATTAATGAAAGATTAATGATGGCCTTAAATGAGCATTATTTGCAATGACATGAATCCACATGGCATTGTTGAGTACCAGTTTTTCCAGAAGCTCCAAGTATTATTTGAAGAATCATAAAGTCAGTCTAAAAGGCATGTGTTTGCTGGTTACGAACACTATAACCAAGCACTGATGATGATGACAGTGCCATTGCTCAGCTGAATAGATGTTCTTCGCTGTAGCTTTCGGCATTCTGTGCTGACACACTGAAGTCTGTGAGTCTGCTTATGCACCTGGGATTTACAAGGACTCCACAGCACGTCAGCCACCTGGATGGTCCCCCGAGATCCCCTCAGCTCCCAGTCCGCATGTGCGCTGACAGGATGAGGGCTCTCTCCACTTCCCCTGCCAGTGGCCATGCTGTGACCTGACCTTTCCCCTGGGGCTCCTGTAATTCATTACTGAGGTGGTGAGACGTGTCCAGCATCCAGCCCCAGAGCTCTTGCATCTGGCTCTACATGCTCTTCTCTTTGCAGTCAGTGCTACCCAGAGGTCAGGTCCTCCTCAGCCACCTCCCAGAATGACTGGCCTCTGCTGCTGTGAGGGCACAAGGACTGTTCTTGTGCCTTGCCAACAGAGAGATGGCTGCCATGCAACGCAGCTCTGAGCCCTGGCATGTGGGCAGCGAGAAGGCCCCTGTAATTCTACCCAGCTAGTGACTGCCATGCCATTCCATGAATGCATGGAGCAGACCTCTTAATGCTCTAGTCAGGCAAAAGCCAAGAGACAGCCCTGAGTAAAGACTGCAGGATCCTTCCAGCATTTCTGTTCAGGCTATGAACAAAAACATGCATCAGCATGATTTAGGTATGTAGGTGGGAGTTAATAATATTAATTATAATATTAAATATTAAATATGAATATTATATTAAATAATATTGAACCATTCATTCAACTATGGAAGGTAAGAGAAGCCCAAAGAGCAATTCTCACCTGCACCAGGTTATATCCAGCTCAGTGATGGGCTGTGCTCAGTTTTCCCAGCAGGCTCAGCCTCCTGCACCTATGCTGCCTGTGGGAGCTCCTCTCAGCTGAGAGCAGTGACAGGGTCACCAATCTTTGAGAAAAAGCCTGTGTTATAACATAATGCAGAGTATGGAGAGGTCCTGCTGCAGTCCTGTTTGGATCTAATGACACTAGGACATAAATAGGAAGGTTCTGCTGTGACACTGTGCGTTCAAATGCACCACAGTCATTCTCCTTGATCACAGTCAGGAGGTCACAGCATTAACTGCCAGATTCAATGACTTCTCTATGGTGATCTTCAATGTAGCCAAGAAAACCAGCAGAAGGGGCTATCTTAGCATAACAAACACAAATAAAATCAAGTCAGTAGACTAGCAGATTTTGCTTAGAAGGAAAATTACTTACACCATCTGCTGCACAGGTGTGAAGCTGTTTGAGTGTAGTAATCACAAATGTGTGCCTCTGCAGGCAGTATCACACAGCAAAAATGGCATTTAGTGCCACCAAGGCAGGTCTATCAGATGAGGGCGTCCAGCTCAGACTCTAAAATCAGCTTGATGTCTGACAATGTCGAGCTCTGCCTTGAAGTGTGCAGCACAGCCATTTAATAGCATGGTCTAGACCATCAGAGGCCAAGGGAGAAGCATGAGGCTACAGATTGTCTCAGGCAGGCCAAAGAAGGTGCTTCATCTACTTGACAGGATCAGTTTGGGGAATTTTCTTAGAATGCCATAGTTCAGTAACAGCAGTTTTTAAGGAATAAATGCCTTTTGCTGCAACAGTGTAAGCTGACTGAAGGATTTTTCCTGACACAGAGGAAAACCTAATGAAAATATAACAAAGGTCAAATGCCATTTTTAGTTGTGTGCTCTCTGCATTTTCCAGTGCTCCCTTCCAACTGACTCATAAATACTATCTTCCCAGAAATGCGTGCACTTCCAATGCATTTTTCTCTACCATTCTCTGTCTCCCGTACTATAACTTTGATCTTTTGTAATGAAATTACAACCCCAACCAAATCAACCCAGTGAACAAAAAGGTCCTTTGGATAGCACCAAGGCAGTCTGAGACACTCCGATCAAAGGAGGCTACTTCTAGATGAATCATTGCATCAGTGAAGCGCAGCCTATTGGGATTCCTCAATGATAACTTGACCTAAGAGATGAAGAGCAATCCCTTGCTCAGCCAGGAGGACCGGAAGGACAGACCTGCCACTTGCATCTTGAAGAACAGGTTGTCTCACACTGCTGAGTACTTTTCATCAGCCTTGGAAGACCTTGAAACTTCTCACTGTAACTTCAGCTGTTCTCAGCACCACTAGCACAGCTGGTGTAGAGTAATACAACATTCAAAGCATACCCATAGTGCACTAAGCACACCTGGCCACCACAAAGAAATGCAAGAAAAGCATTCTGTCATCATTAAATCAGCCCATATGGCAAGTCCAGTATTCCCTCCTTTGCATTCTTTTACCACCATCCTCCAAAGCAAACAAGCTCAGGATGTAATAAATGGCTCTGAGGAACAATCATTGCTGTACACTTAATACTTGGAAACACTTAGTCACCATCTAACTACCTTCATCTGAAACACAGCATGCTGGATTTCAGAGCTTGTAACTTCCGTAAGAGCAGGATCAAGCCAAAATACAGTAATAGTTGAAAAAAGCAATCCATAAACCTGGCATCTGACAGCTAGTTTTCAGGAGAGCACCACAGCAATGTGAGGAAGAGTATTTTCAACAAAGCAAGTGGGTGGAGAAAAGCATGAAGGCATCTCAAACAGCTGCCTTGACACCACTGCACCCCAGGACAGCTGACCAAGGCCCAGAATAACAGGACAATCCCTCCACTTCCTTCCTCAAGGAGAATAAGGTGACTGCGGGCAGCTGGTCTCTCTATCTGGCTATATGACTAATCCAGATACTTACATCAAAGCAACTCTGATGATTATTGTGAAGGAGCAAGCCAAATGAAACTAAAAGATGTGAAATGTGTCTGGGAAATCCAGGGCTACTCTGATGATGTGGGGAAAAAAGTTTTAGACCTCAGAGGTAGCATCAGCTGCCTGTACTGCCACATAAGCAAGTGTCAGTTGGTTGTTCCTCTGCTTTCCAGCCTTGCCATCTTCCAACAGATGGGGTTCTTGGACTACACTTTGTCTTCTTCCACACTTGCAGCTGCTCAGGGAAGCAGTTCCCTTACCCAGTGTCTTCTTTTTCTTTCCCATACTAAGTATTTTGAGAGATGGGACAAAGCAGGGACTTTTTTTTTTCCTCTGTAGGACAGGTTGTACCTACTTCTTCCCTTGGTTTTCCTACACCCCATGGTTCTTTGTCCATATAGAAAAAGGCTGTGTAACCCTGCAATAGTCCCAACCTCATTTGCTAGTAGTTCCTACATAGTCCTTCCCTCCCTACAGCAATTCCTTAATTATTTATGCCTGTATAGCATCTTGTGTCCATTCTGCACTAGTATAAATACTGACAAACCCAATGCATTGTCCTAAGTGCAGGACAAAATATGACCTTCCTCAGAGGATAGATGATATGCATGTCTGAATGCAGCATTGGCAACATAGTACTGCAACATGAGGAAAAAAAGAAAATCTCTTAACCAGCAACTGATTATTCCTGAGAATTCCCCCAGACTAGCTATTAGACCTTGTAGATACATGGATAGAACTCTGGCTGAAGTCTGCAACATCCAGATTCCAAAACATTTCACAGTGAAACTCTGCAGGAGACAACTCTGCAAGAGATTTTGATATCCACAAACTATCTTACAGGAAAACATTGTCCTAACCCAGCCTTTATTTCTGTGGCAAACACATCATAATGAAACAGCTTTCTGCTCATTCATCTGGTTCTATTTTGCAGGAAATCTGCGAGAATCCACGGTTTATTATTGGTGGAGCCAACAGAACAGATATCTGCCAAGGAGAATTAGGTACGAGATTGTTACTTAAACTCTGTACTTCTTGCAGTGTGCACCATAGTTTAGCTCTCACTTTATTTTCTTTTGCTTCCAAGGTGTTATTTGAAATCACTACACATCTACTGATCCCTTCTCTCAGCAAATCATTGGTATCTGCCTAGTAACAATGTAGGGAAGAACTTGAAGTGAAAGAAGCTTTGCAGGGTATTTTGCTTTTCATGAACTACTATCATGAGTGGGTTACAAAACACCATCTAGCCTTTCTTTCAGTCTTGGAGGAGGGGAAAAGGAGGAAGAGATAAAGAGGAGGAGTTGATTGAGAAAAAGATTTAATCAGCTACTGCATTTTTTCAGGTATTTAGTCTGTTATTTCCCTACAGGAGCTTCTGAGGGCCTCCAGCTAAGAGTGTCTTCTACTCAAAGACTATATTGAAGACCTTAAGCTCAGACGCTTAAAGATACTTTGATATATAAAGCCACTACTTAGGCACAAGTGATGCCCCTGCAACGCTCACCTCCACTGCTTTGTGAAGTCATTCTCCACATTCTCCTGCGGTCTTTCTCCTGAGCTAATACATCCTAATTGTCTTAATCTTTTCATTAAGTGTTATGTGCTCATGACTGTCCTCATCACCTTCCTAGTACTTAAATCTGCCTTTCCTTTTGAGGTGCCCAGAACTCCACATTTGCTAAGTTGTGGCCACAAATGAATTCACATGCCTAATATGTTCTCTCTTTTTGTCTTCCATTCCTTCCCCAACTACACATAGCATTGTTTACCTTTCTGACTTCTGCTGAACTTTGCATAATTTAGAAAACTTCTGGTCATAGGGGACCCCACATCCTTCCCAAGGGGAAATAGGTAACTTAAAACGTGCTGCTATATGTATAGAGTTAGCTTTCAAAAATACACATACGTATTTCTAGACGTTTTATTGCTCCACCAGTCTCATAAATTTCTTTTCCAATACCCTGTAATCAGATTTAGTTTTCACCACCTCGTGTAATTCTCTCAGCCCTCTAATTCACACTGCTCAGGCAAGCTTACCCTATAACCTCTCTTGCAGTAGCAGCTGAAAGGTTTTAATTATGGTTTGAGGCATTCTTTGCTGAACACAGAAGTACTATGGGAAGTACTATGGGAGAAAGCCACTTTCTCAGAGTTCCCCCAGAGGCAGCAAATTTATACAAGAGTCTGAAGCAGGAACTGCAAAGAGGAGAGTGTTTACAAGAGTGCAGACATGGATTCAAAAAGAGGAAAACACATCAGAGCAGTGAAGCAGGAAAGAGGCCCCATAGAACTGCGAGCGGGGCAGTGGGTTATCCTCTGAACAGAAAATGAACACGTGAAACTGAACCTCAGCTGTGCAGAGCTCCACCTGTGAGAGTTACCTCTCAGCCGGCCTCTGTGCTAAGCTTGGAAGGGCTAACATGGAAGGTCAGATACACATTCACATGGGACAGGGAAATCTTGGCACAGTTACAGCACTCGCCAGGTTTTGGGCTTTTTCTAAATTACAGGAACATCATCTATTTAATAGGCATGTACCTAGCCATGAATGATGCCAACGAGCATTTCCAGAGCACAAATAAGTAAAGTATTAAAGTACTGCAGAACACATGGAGAAGAGCCCTTTCCTGAAAGGTGACAGCATGCCCTACTGACAATTAACATGTCACTGCAATATCTCAGGTTCTCCCTTTGTTTCTAGCTGCTCTGTGCCTTCAGTTTGTCTTCTGCTTCTGCTCCTTTACAGGTGACTGCTGGTTCCTGGCTGCCATTGCTTGCCTGACGCTGAATAAGAAACTACTCTGTAAAGTCATACCTCATGACCAGTCCTTTATACAAAACTATGCTGGCATCTTCCACTTCCAGGTGAGTCTCTTCATCTAGTGGAAAGCGGTTGTAACTGTGATTAACCAAGAGAGAGCTCAGCTCTCGGCACGCTCTTTCCTCTCGCTTCTCCATCCCTTGGAAGCGTGAGCCACAGAGGGGAAGGAAAAGCATTGAATTGCCTCACCCCAAACTCTTCCAACAGGGCAGTCACAGAAGAGCCAGCCCATACAAGCAATTAGGGATCATCAACCTGCTCAGGAAGCATTTGCAAATTGCTGTGTCCTGTGCATAAGGGATAGGAACAGGTGCCCAGTCCTGTCTCCCTCCTCAGATGGAGCACTACAGCCAGCACAGACATGCCAGAGCATCTATTTTTAGGCCCACAGGCAGGTGGTCTGTCAAAAACAAGTTACTGAAGAACTGCTTATTCAGAAAAGATTGACGGCTTTCCACATTTCCCTTGGCTCTCCTAACGGACTTCTCACTGTCCTGCACATGTTGCCCAGGGGAATTCGGTATGGCTGCCTCCCTCCCAGGAGCCACATTGCAAAGCAGTTAATTTCCACATTTTCCCCAAGAAGGATTCCTCATCAGAGACTTCTGTGATAGGACAAGGGGCAATGGCTTCAAACTTAAACAGAGGAGATTTAGGTTAGATATAAGGCAGAAACTCTTCACTATGAGGGTTGTGAGACACTGGCACAGGTTGCCCAGAGAAGCTGTGGATGCCCCATCCCTGGCAGTGTTCAAGGCCACGTTGGACGGGGCTTGGAGCAAGCTGCTCTAGTGGAAGGTGTCCCTGCCCGTGACAGGGGGTTGGAACTGGATAGGCTTTAAAGTCCCTTCCAACCCAAACCATTCTATGGCTCTATGATCTCAGCTATCTCAGCCCAGCTTTCCAGCCAGGCTCCTGCTCCCTGCACCAAGCCAACCCATATGCTTTCTGTGTCTTCACTCAGTTCTGGCGCTATGGAGACTGGGTGGACGTCGTCATCGATGACTGCTTACCCACGTACAACAACCAGCTGGTCTTTACCAAGTCCTCCCAGCGCAACGAGTTCTGGAGCGCCCTTCTGGAAAAGGCCTATGCAAAGTAAAAGACCCACCGGACTGTGCTGGGGATCCCCACCAAGGCTTTGGCTGGGGAGGTGGTTAAACCACTGAGTACAGGACTTACAATGAGCACGGAGACAGTTTCTGAACACACCCGTGCCTTTTCCCTTAGATTCTTATGCCTCAGAACTGGGGATGGGGTAAAGCGTATTTTCTATAGGTTTTGCTGCTCCTTCAGAGGTCTTCATTTAATTCTCAACATATCTGTTTTTTTTTATTTTAATGTGTGTAGGTGGCATGTTTTAAAACTTTTAACTTGCGGGCTACCAAGCAGATGGTTTGCGGGTTTTCTTTGTGTATTTACAGATCTATATTCATACATACACAAGATAGGTAAAAATACATATGTGGGTTATTTTTATCTGTGTAAAAGGGAATCCTTTTCTTTTCTCTTTCCAAGACTCCATGGGTCATACGAAGCTTTGAAAGGAGGCAACACCACTGAAGCCATGGAGGATTTCACTGGAGGAGTCACAGAGTTCTATGATATAAAGGATGCCCCTAAAGATATCTATAAAATCATGAAACATGCCATTGACAGAGGATCCCTTATGGCCAGCTCCATTGATGTGAGTCCATCTGAAGTTTTTAATGAGCCATAAGAAATGGCAGAGCAGAGGAACCTCTCAATCCATAATCAAATATATGCCCCCTCTTGGAGCTGCTTGGTTTAGTCCACATAGCAAACAGCCATTTCTAGGAGATGGAGTGATCTCCACTAAACACCACCCATTGGTAAATAACAAGAATCAAAAGGGGAATGAATAGAAGCAGAACATGGAGGTGGAGAGAAAGGGTGTGATCAGCAAAACCAACACTCCACCCTCCATTGCCTTGCCCAGTAAAATGAGGTTAGTATGGGGGTGCTGCAGCTCTGTAAGACACAAATCTTCATGTCAAAGATGCTAAGTGTGCCAACACATAGGAATTTAACCCTTCAATTGCCAATGTAGCCTCAGATTGTCCTAATTTATTGTGGTAAATTTAAGATTAAAAAAAAAACAGTTTCAACAACCATTATGGATTATGAAGTTACAGTAAAGGCAGGAAAACAGCTGGTGCTATCAACCACTGCAGATAAGTATGGCCATAATGAGGAAGAAATTATCTAGGCTGTCTTTTACCACTCATCTTTCTTGTAGGATTTCTCCTCTCTCTCCCTGCCTCATCTTTTTGCATACTACTTTTCTCCCATTCTCTGTTCCAGGATCAGCTAGGCTTTTCTTATGGATCAGCTCCTCGGAGCGACATCGGGGAACTGATTGCTCGAATGGTGAAGAATCTGGAAAACTCACAGATGAGTTACCCCACTGTAAACTACCAGGCGACGGATGAGAGGCCAGCCTGGGTTCGTATGTCTCCACTGTGAAGTCAATCACTTCTGCTTTCATTTACAGACAGTTAGAGAAACATGTCACCTATGCTTTTAAATCCATATTTGGCTGCACTGAATTATTCCAGCACTAAAGACCTGTTCTTATGGATGCTATTTGACATATGTGTTAAAAGACTTCAGTGCTTTAAAACACAGTGACTGATACGAGAGAGCTTTGCTTGTACTGCTGGCTTGCGGCACAGGCTTATAATTTTCAGAACAGGAAATGATTAGTGGATGTTATCAAATCCCTTATTTGCAAAAGGTTGTGAGAACAAGACAATTAAAATACTAGGCTAGAAAAAGATCCCCTAGGGTGTGTGGGGATGTGAATGGAAGAAGAAGCAAGCTCTGCACGGGCTCACTCGAGACATAAAGGTACTTGGTGAACTTATTTTGAGAGTTTTATGGGGCTCTGCCCACAAATGGAGGGGGCTGTTCTCAGGATGCTCCTTTTAGATTACTGCCATTAATTCCCTCATTTAAAAAGCATAACAAGGGAAAGAAAAACATGTTGAGTTTTACATGTGCAATAAAATACGAAGTAACTCCAACATTCCCAAGTATCTAGCAAAATAAAGAGAAAATTAAGAAAAATCCTATACTGGTAAACTCAAAAGCTTTCAAATCTGTGGAGGGGCACGTTGCCTCTTCCTTCTCTCTGTCAGGCAGCTGTAATACTTTAGGAGCATTTCCATGACAATGAAATTACATTGCTTGCTTTACAGAGAAATAAAAAAGGAAAAGAAAATAACCCAGAAAATAGGCTAACAACCAAGGAAAAAGAAACCAAACAAAACCTCCACAATTACATAATAATACATAAAACTTTTGGTTGTGCAAACTGTGTTGTGTATTTGCAGTGGAAATAGCTGACTTTTCCTCTTTTGACATCCATATTTAGTCTTCCCAGAAGACTGAAATGGTGTAATTCTTCAGGAAAGCCCAGTATAACTGCCTTGTGTTGCAAACATGGCTGCCCAAATCACCCATGTTTTGAGGGGAATTTCCTCCCCAGTGACTGAAGGAAGGTTGCAAAACTCTTTCTATACTTGCTGCTCAGCATCTGTTGTGCTACTGGTTATTACACATTCCTGAGCCATCACCAGAAACAAAATCATGACTCCTGATGATGATGTGTGTAGATAGTGCAGGCTGCAGTTGCACTTCAGAGAAGTGGCCCAGAGCACCAGCAGAAGTTAGTATTCTTAAAAAGAAAAGTGTGAGAAAAGGGTTCTGGTAAGTAATGATGGCAACAATATGAGTAGAGATGAAGAAAAAAGGAAACAGATATGAGGTTATAGGCATTAAAGGTATGGAAACAGGAGCAAGAAAGAAAAAGAAACAGGACGAAAAGGGAAATAATGGAAAATAATTGTGACAGCGAGGAAGTATGTGCATGAGATCCTCCCTGGGCAAGCTGCAAATGTATCTGTGTGACTTGACTTTACTAATTCTCCATTTCCAGCCCTGCCTTTCTCATGCCCACAGATATGTCAGGAAAGGATAGCAGAGTTACTGGCAGAGCTGTACAGGCATCTCTTAGAGGCAGACGTGATGAAGAAGGTGAAGTAATCTATGACACACACTAACACTTGATTACCAATACAGAAAATGTATTTACCCCTGAGCAATACATTGCTGAAGAAAGAAAAATTTCAATAATGAGGATTAATTTCCTGTGGAAATGTACATTTTATTCCACAGAAAATTAATTAAAAAAAAATAGTGTAAATTAGTAGGAACAGTTTATTAAATAGGATGTTTTAATGTCATTGTGATAAGATAGCAGCTGTGTGTAAAGATGAAAGTGTTCCTGGTGTAGTTGAAGGTGTCCCTGCCCATGGCAGGGGGCTTGGAACTAGATGATCTTAAGGTCCTTTGCAACCCAAACCATTCTGATTCTAGGTGTTGATCTGCTCTGATGTTTCCAGTTAATATGCAATAAACTTACTGAGCCATACAAAAACATACTATCCCACAAAAGGCAGAGTAGTTCTACTAATACAAAATCTAAGTGTTTTGATTAAATATTCTAAATGCTAGCTAAGCACTAACCTGCACAAAGGAAAAAAGTAAATCACAGAATGTCCTTTCCAATTCATAATGTTAACTTTTTGCTTTTTCAGTTTTTGCTCCACTTCTTTGTAACCACTAACATTAACCTGTGGGCACTAACCTTGGCCACCTTGGCAAACACAAAGAGAACAAGACAAAAAACCCTTTCATCTGGCCGGTGCCTTACCCCAAAAGCCCTGGGTGGCACTACCTGCCTTAGGGCAGTCAGCAGAGCTTTTCATGACTCTTATCTTCCAACAGACCATAGTGCCAATGCAGTATGAGACACGGATGTCTTGTGGGCTCGTCAAAGGTCATGCCTACTCAGTCACGGCTGTGGAAGAGGTACGTACAAGTCCTTTCCTGCCCTTCACTGCAGAACACATGCAGAAGAGCCCTCTCCTGATAGGCAGTGGCATGGTCTACTGAGAACTGACATGTCACCTGTCCAAGTTTTGGCTTTCTGGGGAACTGGATATTCAACAACTTGTGCAGAGGTGGCCACAGCCAGTCACCTCCTGGTCTTACAGCCCTCACACTCACCCCAGGCAGGTCAGGCTGGGTAATGGAGGAGCTGGTATGAGCAGTTTGACAGGCAGAACGTTCCTTTTGACCGTACTCTCAGTCTATTCTTGTTGCATTCTTTTTCAATTAGACAACATTTAAAGGGGAAAAAATACGTCTGGTACGGCTGAGAAACCCCTGGGGACAGGTGGAATGGAATGGACCTTGGAGTGACAAGTGAGTAAACAGCTTCACATGATTTGGAAAGAAAAAAATTGAAGGTTTATTTGCCTGACTGTGGCTTGTGTGTGACCCTACCATTTAGTGATGAAGTATGTGAACCGTCTTTGAAGTCACTTTGACACCTGCACTTTGAATTTAGTCATTCTTGAGTGCTTAGCTGAAGCTGTGAAAAAGAAAAGTACCTAAAAAAGATGCTGAGAGGCTTTAATCAATGGAAATGAATAGAGAATCCAGTCTAATGGCACAATCTGATTTTACCACCTAACAAGTCCAGCAATGTCCATTTTCAAAAAGAGATGAGACAGTAGAAAAATCTTTTAAGTTATGACAAAGTTGGATGAAGCAAGATGTCAGTACACAAATAGGTTTGGATAAAGCTGGTCATTAGGTTTTACCAAAAGGAATTTCAACAGCTGCTTCAGCAATAAGAGTCTTTTTTCTTCAAGCTAAACAAAATGAACACAGTTCACTGGATTTTTGAGAGCTGTTAAGAGGAAGCCTGAAGGGAAGGCAGGGAGAAGTAGGACAACTGGTTTTTTATTTGGGCATGTAGACAGGAGGGTAGCACTGAAAACAAATGGTTGCAAGGCTCTCAAGGAAAAAAAACAAATGGATGTAGCAAGATGACTCTTGACTTCCCACTCTACAAGGCTTACAGTAAAGAGTAGAAATTTTAATGAAAACTGTATTATAATATTGTATTTACTCCTTTGAAGGTCAGAGGAATGGACCTTTATTAATGAAGAAGAGAAAATCCGCCTGCAGCACAAGATTGCAGAGGATGGGGAGTTCTGGTGAGAACATAGAATCATAGAATCGTTAGGGTTGGAAAGGACCTCAAGATCATCTAGTTCCAACCCCTGCCATGGGCAGGGACACCTCACACTAAACCATGTCACCCAAGGCTCTGTCCAGCCTGGCCTTGAACACTGCCAGGGATGGAGCACTCAGAACTTCCTTGGGCAACCCATTCCAGTGCCTCACCACCCTTACAGTAAAGAACTTCTTCCTTATATCCAATCTAAACTTCCCCTGTTTAAGTTTGAACCCGTTACCCCTTGTCCTGTCACTACAGTCCCTAATGAAGAGTCCCTCCCCAGCATCCCTATTGGCCCCCTTCAGGTACTGGGAGGCTGCTGTGAGGTCTCCACGCATCCTTCTCTTCTCCACGCTGAACAGCCCCAACTTCCTCAGCCTATCTTCATATGAGAGGTGCTCCAGTCCCCTGATCATCCTCGTGGCCCTCCTCTGGACTTGTTCCAACAGTTCCATGTCCTTTTTATGTTGAGGACACCAGAACTGCACACAATGCTCCAGGTGAGGTCTCACAAGAGCAGAGTAGAGGGGCAGGATCACCTCCTTCGACCTGCTGGTCACACTCCTTTTGATGCAGCCCAGGCTTTCTGGGCTGCTGTTTGACATCAGTCAAAACCCCGTGTTTCTCTAGATCTGCAACCATAGCAAAAATTAATCACACTGCACTACCTAAATCTGCTATAACCATTGTGGTAATCCCTGTTCCCCTTCGTATTCCCAGTAAGCATTGCTTTGTGATCCCCTCAGTCTACCACCAGGGTTTATTGAGTGCCACAAGCACAGTCCTTCTAATTATGCTACACTTCCAGAAGCTGTCCATCACTCTTCCTACGTACCATCCTCTCAGCTCACTTTCTCCCCAGTTTGGAAATGTAATTGTGCTAACTGACCAAAGAGCAGCCCAAATGCATTAGGAAATCATGGCACTGTCATGGCAAACCTTATAGTGGCAGTATTATTGGTCACCCTCCTCCACCTCACCAAGGTCTTTCAGACAGCTGCCCACCATGGAAATCCATTTGAGTTCAGTTTCCCCTCAATTCCTCCAGGATATCATTTGAAGACTTCATGAGGCACTTCACAAAGCTTGAGATCTGTAACCTCACACCTGATACTCTGGAAGCCGATAAACTCCAGACCTGGACTGTGTCGGTCAACGAAGGGCGCTGGGTGAGAGGCTGCTCAGCTGGAGGCTGCCGCAATTATCCAGGTAAGCAACAGGTAGGAGATACAGCCTCTTTGGTGGGGACTGAATTAGATACCACAGGGTAAGTCATACCACAGCCTGATCAGTGCTCAGCCAAGCAAAAGCCTTGCTTCCTCAGTGGATGAGGCACATGATTTGTACCTGGAAAACTTCTGTCACTGTGTTTGTGACAGCACCTTGTAAGCCCGAAAGGCAGGCCAGGCAAATAGAAATCATTGTTCAAATACTTCACACTGCCCCAAGTAAGATAAAAGAGATCAATTTCACTAACAGATTTCACCCAGGAGCCACCTTTTTTATAGTTTTAGGTGCTTTGAAGTTTGTGAGATTTCAGTTCTTCATTTTACATCCTCCTTTGGTGTGCAGTTTTGTTAGAACTATGTGAACCACATAACATATAAAAAAGAGGTACATGGTAGCCGACTTTTAACCTTCCCCTCAGGAGCCACAAGCAGGGAACTTAAAAGTTCTCTTTGATCATGAGTACCATCAGAAAACTGAAGGATTACATGTTTGCTTTGGGTTGTTGCTGGGATTTCACAGACACATTTTGGACCAATCCCCAGTATCGCTTGAAGCTCCTGGAGGAAGATGATGATCCCGAGGATGAACAGGTGATCTGCAGCTTCCTTGTCGCACTGATGCAGAAAAATAGGAGGAAAGAACGCAAGCTGGGAGCCAACTTGTATACCATTGGCTTTGCCATCTATGAGGTACTAGCTCTAGACTATTCTTTGCACCACAGTCACAAATCCTGACACTGTGCCCTTACCAAGAGAGTCACCGAATCATTCAGCCTGATAATCTGAATTGCAATCTTTACGTGACCAGTAAAGGCTATGTAACCATTCAGACCATAGTAACCTCAGGTTTTACCCTATCTATAAATAAGACACTTTTTAAGCTTCCGTAGTGAGTTGCTGACAGATCTGAACATACTCTTTCCCATAAATTCTTCCATCTCTCTTTCATCTTGCTGAAACTGAATACTTCATTGGCAAAATAGTGTAAAAAAGGAAACAGACATCCAAGACACGGGTAGCGATTAACCTCTCTGTCCCTGCTACTGACTTCATGAGGAAGTCAATTTATTCAGTCCTTTGCGCAAACATATTTAGTTCAGATCTTAGTGGATCTCATGTAGATCCCAAGAAATCTAGAAAGGAAGAGAGAAATTGCTTAGCATATTTATCTAATTTGGGGCATTTTAATCACTGCCTGCATCCACAAAAATCTATGTGAACACCCTTCTGTAGGATCTATAAACAAGGGGACTCACTAGCAGCTCTGACTGTTTCTTCTCTTTGTTTCTCCCTAAGGTGCCCAAAGAGGTATGAGCAGAACGGAGGCAGATTGACATCTTGGTGTATACTCACAGCTAGTGTTACTATTGTGCCTGTCTGTAAGTCAGCAGGAAACTGTCCAGTGAAGTCTGTTTTCAGGGATGTAACAGAAGTGAAACTGCTAACCTTTCTGCTTTGAGTGTCTATTAGTAACATTTTGTGAGTAATTTTTAGCTCCTTCTTATTTGCACCTTTTCCTCAGTCCTGCTTTATCTATTCCATGTTAGACCTGGCCATGACTTGCATGTCAGTCAGTGAGCCTGGGCTGCAGGAAGCAGCATCAGCAAGCACTTGGCCTTCGCACTCCATGCAAAACCACCCTAAACCATTTCCATTTCCTCCTGCAAATAATGCCAATGACCTATATATATCCTGCAGCCACAGAAATTTCTCTCTAGTCTTAGAATTTGTTTGGAAAAAACATGGCATTTTCAGCCATTGAAGAAAGCGTATTAAAGGTACACAGAAGCCCTCAGAAGCCAACTAGACCCAGCCAGTAGCAACTTAAAGGTGACAGACTTGGTATCTGTTATCAGCTAGCATCCCTTGTCAGCCCCTTGCTTGTTAGACTGCTGCTCCATTGGTGTTTTCTGTCTCAACCATGTACTGCCCACATGACAAATCACCTGGGCAATGGATGAGACTTCCCTGAAGACAAATGGACTCATTTGTTCTGCAGATGCACGGTACTAAGCACCACTTGCAAAAGGACTTTTTCCTCTACAATGCCTCCAAAGCTAGAAGTAAGACCTATATAAACATGCGAGAAATCTCTGAGCGCTTCCGGTTACCTCCCAGCGAGTACGTCATCATCCCATCAACATACGAACCCCACCAGGAGGGAGAATTCATCCTGAGGGTCTTCTCAGAAAAAAGAAGTCTTTCAGAGTAAGTTACAGATTCATTTAACTGCTCATAAAGATGGAGGAGAGCTCACTAGTCTGCGATAGTCACGTTCCCCATTTGCTATACCCTGATTTTAATTTTCTTAACCTCATTAGGAACTCCAAGCTACAAACTCATTTCCCCAAGCTTCCCTTATAGAAAGAAGGAGAGAGCCTGCTTTGAATTGTCTTTGGAGAAGCCTACTACTTGCAGGATATCCTTTGTAAACATACCATTAGTGATTTTTTAATAACGGAAGTGAACCTGTTTGGTTTTTTGCTATATGCCACTGGCTGAAGTTTTTGGCCAGATAGATCGTTGAACCAGATCTAATTTCAGTCACAAATGAAACACAGAAGTAGGTAGCTATTTCTTGTCCATGCTGCTCTTCAACTAGTTCCCCAGAGCTCAGCAAATTGCAGCCAGTGTCACTCTAATTAGGCCAAACAGCTTCTATTTGACTCCCAGGAATCCAAATCCAGTGTTATCAAGGCTCTTTAGAGAAGTAAACCATGCAGCAGCCCTCCTGGAAGTGGTATTTGTGATGCTCAGCTCAAATTGGGAAAAAGCTCCATCTACAGCCTGCAGTTGTAATGCTTGGAAACCAGCCCTCACCACTGGCTGTTTGGAAAGTTCAAGCGGCTGCTTATACTCCAGCTACAGAAACAAGCAACACTGGGAACAGTCACTTTGCTATTTATTTACTTTTTGCTTTCTTCTAGGGAGGTTGAAAATATGATTGAGGCAGATCGTCCATCGGTAAGTAGTGTCCTGGGCCTCTTTTGTACACAAATAGGGGAAGGGAGAGGAGTATGACATCTAGAGAAACCTACAGCAGGAAACTAGTTGGAGCCCAATGACAGCTCCTTTAGCATAAATCCCCACATTTTTTCTTCATCAAGATACTTATATTAATACTTGCTTTATATACACTATGCTCTGATTTTGTCAGAACAAAACCTTTTTGACAGATTTGGAATCTGCTCCTGGCACAAAGGAGCTGGATGCTAAGCATTGCTTTTACCTCCATCAATGAGGCTTATTCATTTACCAGGGAGGCCTGTACTGTAACTGTGCCTCAAGATATTTTGTTTGTGAGATTGGCACCTCATCTAACAAAGAAAGAAGTATTTTATTTTGAGGTATATGCTTTCTGGAATGAGATCCTAATGATAATCTGATTCATACTATCATCCATGACAAGCTCTACCTCTTCACCCTGGGGTTTTACACATCTTTGTGGGAATATACTAGAGCTAGCAATACAATTAGTCTGGGGAAAAAAATCAGAGGTAATGCTCTTGCACGGAATTGAGCTCCATCAAACCTTGCTCAGAAGTGTTAATCTCTCATTTGCAGTTATGATAACAAAATGTCTGTCCAGATCAGGTGGGATTTAATTGCCACTGCAGATATCATTGATTTGCAGGCACACAAGTCCAATTTCCACTACGCTGACAGGTTGGGAAAAAGAAAAGGAATAGTCATAGCTAAAGGTACAATAGGGACTTTATTCAAGCAGACAACAGCCCAGATAAGACGACACTGTTTGCTATGGTTTCTGCAATTTCTGTCAAATTTTTGGTGGGTGCATTTTCTCTCATTTTTGGAGATTTCAAAACTGTATGAATACAGGAAATAAGAAAAAGAAATGCAGGAAGGGGAAAGAAAGAGGAAGAAAAAAACTTTACCATCTGCTCTGCATAATCTGGGTAAAATGTATAATTCTGTTGTTTTAAAACACCTTTATTTCATATTTCGTTTCTTTTTGTTCAGAAAAAGAAAAAGGGCAAGGTGGGTATTTATGCAATGTGCTGAGTGCCAGCAAGGCAAAGAGCATGTGCAATGCATGTGGCAGGAGCAGAGTCCCTTGCTATCACGATTTCTCTGCATCTGGAAACTGATGTAGTTAATGAAAGACACTGGATAAGAGGACATTTGTAGGTGGCAAAGATTTTGCCTTCCTACACTGAAGTCTAATGAAATAGCATTAGCATCATACACCCCCTACCCCATCACTTAAGGGGGTGGCAAAAGGGTAACACGTTTCAGTTTTATAAGCTTGATTCTCTGGGTTGCTCAAACTGCTCGTCACAGGCACCCTGACACCCCCTCCTAGTGCAAAGCATCCCTTTGTCAGACCCATGCTTTCTGTTGCCTAGGGCAGCTACTTCTCTTTCCTGCAGTCCAGGATTCTGCTTTCAATTCTACACAACACATTTAGGACCTTGAAAATGCAATCAGACGTTTTAATCTCAAGACAGGCTGATTGCAATTAATACTTTAGGGTAACACATTTGCATCTTGTAGCCGCTTTCCTTGATTGTAATGCACTAAACCAAAACCATTGCATGAGCTGCTTTCAGCTGAATGCTTCAAGAATTAATGCAAAGAAAGAACATCTGCTTCACATAACTAACAAGCTCCCACACAAATACTACTTTTCTGTGCAGGATTCAGTTTGTCTTCATACAGTGCTACTGTCCTTCATATGGAGGTGCAAGTTCATCATTTAACTGACAATTTGAGAAGCTTATTTTGCTTAAAACAAACAAAAACCCAGCCACATTTAAATGGTGACTGGCTTTCTGAAAAGGAAAGCTAGAAGCCAGAGACTGCACTAGTTTGCAAAGACTTTTACAGGGTTTTTTTATCATGAGGAGAGCGGTAACTTTGGAAATTCCTCAATATTTTTTTCTTTTTTGGTTTCTTTTCTTTCATTCCCAGCTCTGGCTTCTCCAGTCACACTGCCAGGGGCAGGAGCTGTTGCTGCATGTGCTTTACTACAAAATGGCTGTCGCCAAATATTTTTCCTTCTACTATTTTTTGTGTAATTTCCATTTCTCTTTTGCTCTCTTTGTTCTTCTTCTAGCCTATCATATTTGTTTCTGACAGAGCCAACAGCAATAAGGAACTGAATGCAGATGAAGATGCTGGCAAAGATGGTGAAAAACCCCACGTAGATGAGAAAAAGGTTTCTGCAGCAACTGGCAAAGGGGGAAATAGGGGTTGGTCTGGGGAGCATAAAAGAATGGCTGGGGAGAGGGCAGGAACGGGGCAAAGAAGTGTCCTAAAATACTTAACAGCTTTTCAAGTCTTAGCATAGTTTGCATCTGGCTTATGTGGATCTAATAAGCATGAGCAAACAAGAGACTATCCCTGCAGTTATTTAACCAGCTGTGATGGAAGGTTTAGCTGAAAACATATCCTGGTTGCTCTCTCATACAAGGATCCCAAATGTGAGAGATCCCTTCCCCACAAGCAGCACAATTCAATCCACACTTGCTCAGCCTCCTGAACTGGTACCCTCTTTACATGGGGTATATCCATGAACTGCACCTGAGCGGCTTTGAGAGCACCTGGAAATTATCACAGCCTCTCCTCGTCACAAATTACACATCCCTAAACCAGTCCCCATTGGCCAGAGGTGAAAAGGATGAGTAAACCCAGAAACTCCTGCATCTCCTCCATTCTCTGACTACCAAAGAGGAACACAGAATAGCAAATTCAGAGCTTCTGCCTGCAGATAGGTGAGGGATGCGAGATGCAACAGCAAGATGCGGCATCTGGAGGCATGAGGGATGCCTGCTTACAGGGAGCGTGCTGTTCTGCTGTGTGGCTGCCAGAGCATACAGGTGGGAAAATGGAAACCAGTATTAACTTTGTTCTGCACTTAGGCAAACAAAAATAAGAACTGAGTCAACAAATTCACTCTACTTCATTACAGAATTCCTGTAATATAATACTGGGGGAAGAAGGAATAGAACAGTTTCCTTTTCCAGCCTCAGAGTTCAGGCTTGCTCTTTGCATGAGTCTGAGAAAGCTTCACTTTCATCTTTTTCCTGTTTTATGTACTGCTTGGCTCCAGCTAGACCACTCCCTGCCCTCCTCCCCCCCCCCCATTAAAAAGAGCTCTCAAGCCCAAGTCCCTCTGGTCAATTCATATCCTACAGAGCAGCTATGGAGCAGATACGCTGCTTCTGCCCCAAACTTCTCCTTCACAACGTTTTGAAACAAAAATCTGTCAGTAAAAGTAACTATTTAGGCTCCTTCAAGAGAAAGGAGAGCAATGGGATGAAGTTAAATACTCAGCAGTTTTGCCAGAGAACACATTAAACCAAAAACAAGGGAAAGGAAAATGAGGACAACCCTTTCCTCTGAAGGCCTCCAGATTCACTAACAGGCTCCATAGCTTGAGGGTGAGGGAGCTGTACAGGCCCCTTCCCTTCCGTTCCCTGCTGGCCTAAGGATGTCTCTCTTCACTTGTCTTTTTTCAGCGTCCTTCGACAAGAACTCGAGAGGGAAGTGAAGAAGAAAACCAGTTCAGGAATATTTTCCGACAGATTGCAGGGGATGTGAGTACGGAAATGATCCTTGTCTCTGCCACCGAGGCAGCTGAGCCACAACAGCACCTAAATCAACTGCTTAAATCAAATCTCCTTTGAGATCTGGAGCTAAGCAAAATCAAATCCAAATCCAATTAAGTATACAGCTATCCTCACATGTACATAAAAGCTATTCCCATTGTGTACAAGGGAACCTTATTTAAATTCATGCTTTTACTTCTATCAATACTTTAAGATGCATAAACAAGTTAGAAATGCAGTGCCCTTCAGTATATGCTTCACAAGGGAAATTAAAAGTAAAGAGACATCAAAGAACTGTACAAATCAAGAGGCTGCAAATGGGTTACAGAGATTTTTGCATTTTGGTTTTGGGCTCATACAGTGGCTTGAAATCAAAGGTGATTCTTCTAGTTGTAGTTTAACAAACACTACATGGTAAATTCAGACCTGCCTTTTACTGCGGCCTCAAGAAAGACTTGGACTAATGTTTATATGAACTACAATACTCTCTAGTTTAGAGAATGTGTATGCCATACTGAAAAGTGACCGAAGACTTCATCCTTTTAGCATATCTGTTCATAAAACTATTTGCTTAACAAGGAATGTTATAATTAATGATATTCTCACCTCACTTCCCACCAGGACATGGAGATCAATGCTGAAGAGCTCAGGAATGTTCTCAATAACGTTGTAAAAAAACGTGAGTTTAAGCCTGGTTTTCAGTAACCCTGGACAAAGAAATCTGTGCTATAATGGAACCCTCCACCCTGCAGCTGCACTCTAAAAACTATTCATGATTTCAAACTCCCAAATTTCCTAGTTAGACTTCCATGGACTTTGCATGTGAGACTTTAGCAAGCTGAGCTTTTCATAGAGATCCTCTGTATGAGTGGTCCAATACTGATAATGCAGAAATGAGCAAATGTTGATTGGAAGCACAACACAGGATAATGCAGCATTTCTAGCAAATTTAATGTCTAGTCAGACTTTCTCTCTGTTTAGCAAACTTCAGCCTACACACTCTGTGCTTGCTGAGTGTGCTGGAGGTTAGTAGAGTTTTACAGAGATTTTTATTGTATATAAGAGGTCAAAAAAGTAATCTGTAATTCACAATCTATAATGTTAATTAGAAGTCTTTTCAAATTTCTCTACCATTCATGTCTCACTGGATAAAGGAAGTAAGTTTGGCTTCTACCTTGAGTAGAGTTACACCTACAAGGAAGAAGCGCTCGATGACTTGCATGATCTTCACCTAGGATCATTTATTTCAGATAAGGACCTACGGACAGAAGGATTTGAACTGGAATCCTGCCGCAGCATGATTGCTTTAATGGATGTATCCTTTTCTGGTGAAAGAGGAGTGCTTGATACGACACTAGTCCAGTTAGGTTCTATTTTCCACCACTACACACACACACAACTTACTAAACCAGGGAAGCAGAACAGTACATTATAGCTTGTAGTGAGACCACACAGCATTCCTCTTCGACACATTTCAACTCCAGTCATCCCAACATGAGTGTAGCTGGCAGATGAAACGATCCCAAACCAGAAAACTACAGAATCAGTCAGTCTATATGATACCCTTCCTTGGGTATCAGGGACTTGACAGCCCAGGTACTCAAGCATGATTTTTAAAGATTTTTTTTTTAAACTAAATCAACATATTTCTTGCCAACAAACTCAGTACATTTCTCTTATCTAAGTTTATAATGTATTGTACATTCCACTGCATGCTTAGCATGCAGGGCATACAGAAATTGTCTGAAAGCAAGTATAATAAAACACACAACAAAATGCCACATGGGGTTACCTCTACTACAGCATCACTCAGTTTTCCTATTTGACATAATGCATAATTTTGAAAGAACAAAAGTGCATTCAAACATAACCAGAGCAAAATTGTAACTACAATCCAGAGCCATAATGGTTGGAGCCTAAACACATTTTTGTGAGTGGCTTTAGTCAACATTTTGCTTAGTTCCCAATTCATTTTAAGCAAGGCAGAAAGAGCTTCACTCTAGGATAAACCTCAGTTGTCTCAAAAAACATCAGGTAAGCTTCAGATTTGGAGGTATTTGGAAAGCTCCCACTAGAACATCCTGCTCATGTGCTTCGTAAGGGCACCAGGAGAAAGCCTCGCTCCTGTACCAGATGTTTGCTGCTACTCAAACAGCACTTCACACCCCTGAAACAAATAATACACACAATAACCAAGGCAAATATTAGCTCAGCCAGCTGTGAGTGCTAAGGAGATCTTGAACTCAATTTCACATCCATCCCTTCCCTTCACCAGCAGTTACAGACTTAAGTAATTTTCTCTTTAAAATATTGTGAGGGTTTTTTACCTGAATGTTTGCATCGCAGACAGACGGCTCAGGGAGGATAAACTTCGATGAGTTTCGACATCTCTGGGACAAGATTAAAAGCTGGCAGGTATTGTTGGGATCCTCAGTGCTGTTCTTCACAGCTTCTACAGCGTAAAAAGTTGTGTAGGAAAAACAGAACTCCCTATGTTTATTACAGCAAAAAGAAAAGCTTAAAAAGCTGCAATAAAAAGAAAAAATTGCTTATAAAAAGAAAAGTCACTTCTCGTGCTACTCACAACCTAAGCAAGTAGCTTGAAGCTCCAGTACTTATTTAAGAAGTACCCTCATGAGACTAGCTTGGAGGCATACAAATTGGAGAAAGAGGATGATGGGAACTAGAATCAGGCCTCACAGATAGCTTAATTAGGACAATCAAGAGAGAGTATTAACAGACTAAACTCAAGTCAAACAAGGAGAATCTCTAAGGGAGAGCTTTCTGCTTCCCACAGAAAGGATCTAAGTTATTTTGCTTTCTGACTGAGGAGCTCTGAGCTATAAACTGAGGCTGCCCAGCTGCAGCAGTGTAAGGCAAATGGCAAAGCTGCAAGTGCCCAAGGCACACATCCCATATCCAGCCAGTGGATACACTCAACAGGATGTTGAAGTTTTCCTGTTGTACTTCAAATACAAGCTTTTTTCTGTTGTGTATTTATTGCTTTTCCTTCTTCCAGAAAATCTTCAAGCGTTACGACACGGATCACTCAGGCACCATTAACAGCTACGAGATGCGCAATGCAGTGAATGATGCAGGTACTTCCCCCAGTGCCCAACAGCTGAAGAAACCGTATTTTGTTTTGTTTGTAAAATCTGTAGTATCACTATAAACCTAGATGTAATGATTCAGTGACATTTCATCTTCAGTACTATTCTGGCACACCAGTTACAGTTCATCAAGGCACAGAAACAAACAGCCATCTTGTACTTTACAAAACATGAGTGATTTGACCCTCTGCTAAGGACAGAACTACACACGGATTTGACTTCTTGCCACAGTAGAAATTCAGGGCATTTTCATTTTCCAGGTTTCCATTCTCTCCAGGAAAGTTACCAATGTCAAAAAAAAGAAATTTAAATGCCTCCTGCCCTGGATTTAAAACACATTTTACAACAGCAATATCTCAGTCTTACAGCCTGTAGGGTATGCATGACCTTGCATATAGCCAACAACCAGCAGTACCCAAATCGTGACAGCCCCTTATGAAGCTGCAGCAGTGCCATGGCTCAGTTACAAGAGCTACCTCCTCATCTATTTTTTGACTATTGTGTAATTATGTTTTCATAGCAACTTCCTCCTATATTTCTGTCACCAGTTTTTGTAGCTTTGCTTTTACCAGGCCCAGCTAAGCTGCAAGCTCTTTGGTGTAGGTCTCTCCTCTTCATATTCACAGCATAACTCCTGCCCTATCAGCCCTCCCAGATTGTTGTTTCCAAGTAAGCTCCTTATAACTGTACTTCATTTTATGGAGTGGATACAGCCTAAGCCTCATCTGAGCCTGGGACCTGCCTATGGCCAAACCACTGTGGAGGCCTGACAGGCACCAGTGCTTCCCCTGTCCCAGCTGCACCCCGTCCCTGTTCCTCTGCAGGGTTTCGGCTGAACAACCAGCTCTACGACATCATCACCATGCGCTATGCTGACAAGAACATGAACATCGACTTTGACAGCTTCATCTGCTGCTTCGTGCGCCTGGACGCCATGTTCAGTGAGTGGCTGCCTCCCCTCCTCACCCCCAGAACGCAGTCACACTCAAGGCAAAGCTTGTTCAGAGCACTGCGGCCAGGATATAGAATTAATAGTTAAAGATATGTGCTTAGGGAATCTAAATAGGACACCCATCTCATTCACACACAAAAGAAACCACTGTGTCTCTCCTTGTGTTAGCTAAGTAAATCCCTGCACAGGCTTGCACAACACAAGCTCTTTGATTTGCTATCTGGGATCATCTTTATGCACACAGTTATTTAATCTACTCCATATATTTTTGCTTCCTTGCTTTAGGAGCATTCCACGCCTTTGATAAAGATGGAGATGGCATCATTAAGCTCAATGTCCTGGAGGTAAACTACTTTACACCAGTATTTCTAACACAATGTCACAATACTGAATTCTAATGTTATTATTCATTGCATGTGTTCTCAAGACAGCCTACGAGAGTTGGTCTGAAATTGCCATCCAATTGGTAAGAGGTTATAAAACCTCTCCAAAATTTTACTACCGATTTTACATGGAAAACATCCATGATGCGCCAGCAATGGCCGCTCTGTAGGACTCCAGTTGGTGCTGAAGGGCATGGCTCTTCATACCACCTTTAAAGGGCTTCAAGAAATTTCTCAGATCTTTTTATTTTATGAGGCAATTTAAATCAAACATACTGATATGGCACTAACTGATAATGGGGTTTAAAGTAGTTCTTTACTTCTAAAACCTAATTAAGAAGACTTAAGAAGTTTAAGCTTAAAAGGACATCTTCTGCTAGGGAGATCATAAACCCTTCCAGTTTTCCAAGGGAAATAGGAGAAAGAAGCTTAAGAGAAACTTCCCCACTGCTACTGTGCTCCAGACTTTCAGCAAGCAGCTGCCTTCCAGAATCTCCTGGAGGATGCCAGCACGTCTTCTATCTTTAATTCCAATTCTCCTTTTCAGTGGCTGCAGCTCACGATGTACGCGTAACACTGGAGCCAGAGGCCATCTTCAAGATCACACTCAAGACTTCTATTTTGAGTAACTTGCTCCATTCATCCCCAAGTACGAACAACAGCATTTCCTACAGCATGTGCTTCACTCATTGACATAAACAGTGTATGGAAAGAAGGCCTGGAAAAAGGGACAACCACACTCCAGTAGGCTTACCAGTGCCCATATTCTGTAACTACTTTGAGAACTTCCCGATATTTTCCTTTGGGCAATGAGGATTAGTTTAACTGATGACTTTTGACTGATTGATGACAATCAAGCTTTTGGTGCATGGTAAAGTCATGGAGCGTGCATCCTTACTCTGCTTATGCTGACAACTGGAAGTCTTCCCTCAAATCAGGCAAAACTGGGACTGTAGATGAATTGTGGAAGTCAGAAGTGTTTACTGCCACCTTGTAATTAGTCATTAACTCTTGGTCCTGCTTTTGATACTACCATGTCAGCATCTTCATAATGGTAACTGAACAATTCACATGTGATTACGCAAGATTACGTTATTAATATTATGAATCCCAAGCACTGATGTTGGTTGTTACAGATGCGGCTGCACAGGTTGGTTCTCTGCCGTGCCAGAAACGTGGGACTGCACTATCCAGGTACAGCTTGGTCTATTGCCTTTGTGAAAGTACTGAGGACTGAGCATTTTACTCTCATTTTTAGTACCTCATAGTAGAGATCTTAAACGTTTTTTATTGTAACTGCAGTCTCTGTAACATTATGGAAGCTGATACACATCCAAGACAAACTCTTATAGATATGAATTTATGCATCTATACAGACACACATCCTCTGTATCCCCTCAAAATCCTATTTCCCAACAGCATTATGTATTTCTTTATGGTAAGAGGAATCAGATACTATGTAAGCATGACCACTTTGGGAAGAGTATTAGAATCTGTAAGTACAGTCAGTTTAATTGACCCCAAAATAAAATCAGCCGGATTTTGGCCTAATTTTCAGGGTGGTTGTTTTGGTTTGAAAGAAGACAAGAGGACAAAACACTGAACACTCTTCCATTATTCTCCTGAATACATAGCAGCTTTTGGAGTTTTATGTCCAGCGTGAAATCTGCTTAATATCTCAACCACTGGAAATCATTTAACAGTTGAAAGGCTCCATAGGTATCAGCTTTAAGGAAGACAGGCCTTCAGAACTGGCCAATCATTGATGAATGTGAAAATGGAAGGAAAAATGAAATGGGCAAGAAAAGGTGTGAAGAGACCAAGACTTTGTCAAAAGAACCTTTGACTTGGTTCACTAGTAGGGAAAAGGAACAGTGCAATCCACTATTGTAAAGCAAAATCGTAAAAACAGATTGTAGCATCCATTTGAAGTTGTTCTGATAAGTAGTACATTTAACTGAAAGGTCACTAAGAAAAAGAAAACGTTTTGACTAAAAAGTCCTGCACTGTAACTTACTCTAAAAGAGTAAGAAAATCCTATAGGTTATCTAAAGAAGAGTTCTTCTCCTTTAAGTTTTGTATTAACCCAAATCACATTTCTAAGATGACTGGAACTCTGGGAGCCCTGGCTTCAAGCCATGCGTTATCTCCACTAAGCTATTATTTTCCATACAAAAAAGAAAATGGCAGAGATGTGCTTATTTGGGATGTTCAGAGAAAAAACAAAATCTACCAGTCAAAAGATCAAAATTGGTATTTTTTACTGGCAACTCAAAACTGGTCCTTAAAGTTGTGGTGAGTGAACTACCAGCAGCTCTAGAGAACTTCTCTTCGTAAGGGCCATGAAGCAAGAGTGAGTACATCATCTTCGAGGCACCCATTGGTGCCTCTAATTTACCTGCCAAACAACAAGGTGTGAGGTTCTGGCACGCTGAGAGCAAAAACTTGCAACACTCCTGCTAGTGCTGGAGCTTCCAAGTGGCCTGTCCGATTTCATCCAGCCCTCTTAAAAAAGGAAAAAAGCCCAGAACAAAGTAAATCTCTACTGAATGCTGTGAATCATCCTATTCAAAACAAAGAAGAGTCAGACTGACAAACTGTAACAATATAGAGAACTTTTATTTTTTTTATTTTTTATCTTCTTTTTTTCTTCTTTTGCTGTGTAAAATATCATCATTATGCTCACAGCTCTGTACCAAAGTGAGAAAAGAAACCCATGGTCAATCTGTGCACGTGTTCTACACAGCTTAAACTATTACATACACAATCATGTGGCTTTATTCCACTTCCATTCTCCAAGAAGACTGTTCAACTATTACAGCAAAATGAAATTTGAGAAGGTGCCAGGTGTTGATAACAGAATATATACCTACACAGTTCGCTCTTTCACAACTACTACAAACAGCAGCTGAAACCTTTTCCTTATCCTCCCTCACATACTCTGCAACTCTGGACAACTCAGACTGCTTGCATGATAGTATCCTACAAGCCTGAAAACCAAGATTCATCTGTACCCGTGTTTTAATTCAAAAGAAGGGGAAAACATTTTCTCAACAACACATTTTGTTTCTGGGAACCTCCAGTTTATTGTGAGTTTTCAGTTATCATTTACCCATGTTGTACAGTTTGAAATGCGCACTAAGAACTGCACTACTTCAAACATACTGCACAGCCAAACTCCTGCTATTTTGCAGAAGGCAGCTCATGTGCCAGTATGTTAAAGTCTGTAATCCACATGTAAGTGACACAAGGCAAGCAGAAGCTGGGATATTTAATGCATCTTCATACCAACGGATGCAGCAGTTTTCCTTTTGTCCCCTTCCACATACAGAAACAGCAGCAATAGGCCACAGAGTGTTTTGCACTGCCAATTAGCTGTAAATTTTCCCCTATCATTTGAAGGATAAAGGAGAAACAACTATTGACCAATCCTACCATTGTCTTATTCAATACATGAGTCTGTTGGGCTGGGGAAGGTTAAGCTTTGCAGAACATGTGAACTTCCAAATGATCATTTTATGCTACTCACACCCTCCTTTTGGAGCTCAGGCAAGGCTTGGTATGCTATGACAAAAGTTCTCAAGCTTTTGAAGAGAATGATGTAACTGGTTTCAGTAGTGCCTGGCCCATTCTTTGTATCATAAAATCATGCAATGGCTCTGAGCATTTTCTGTCTGCTGGGGAGGCTCACAGCTTAACAGACACAATGTCAATCCTGCTAAGAGAAAAATGGTGCCTTCCCCCCAAGAAGGGTCTGCCTTATGGAGTCAGCCATATAGCAAGTCCAGAGCTCCTTATTTAACATTTGACTAATAAGATAAACACAGCTAACCACAAAATAAACCTTCACTCTACTCACTCTTCCACTCACAACTTTTTACTTGCATAAAAAACAAACTGAAAACAAAAATAGTCCTGAAACAGGCTTCAGAGGTGCAGCACTGCTTTTCACACAGAACTCTTCAACCAGAGGTGTATCAGCAGTCAAAAACCTAAGTTCCAAGACTGGAGAGGATGCCACTAATGGCTACCAAGCCAGTATATTAGTTTGGCATCTCTCTTCTGCAACTGCCTCCAGAAGAAGTGAACGGCCAATAAAAAAAGCTGCACTGAATTCCAGCTGAACAAATAGGAAACCTCCCCACAGAACTCCAGAGAAGCCTGTGGATTTCCACAGCTGTACAACTTCACTGCAAATGATATCCTCAGGAGAAAGCAGCACAGCATTTTCCTCTGGCCCCCTGGGCCATTTTAAAAATTGTTCTTAATTCAGGAAACAAAATTCTATAAACACTCATGCAGCTCTGCTATTTTCCTGCCTCTTACCCACTTTAAGATTCTTACCATACATCTGAAATGACCTACAAAGCAGCAAAAGGTATCACTGCTAAAGCTGGATTTCGTAAGTCCAGACTTTTCAGAAGGACTGTTTTCAAGGCAGATAAAGAAGTATCATAAACTACATGAAAAGGAAGTCTGCTTCTACCAATTAGAAAAGAGAAACCAAACAAGCAATCAGGAATGCAAATACAGTGTAGTAACTGTTCACTGCAACACCTAGTGAGAAAGATCTTCACATGTTCCTCAAAACAGATGAAAGAACGTGAAGAATCACAAGGAAGAAGTAACAAAACCTACTCTCACATACTAGTTTTCAGAATGCTTGTCCTCAGGACACACACCTCCACACCTTCACTTCAAGCACGGTCCATGAAGGACAGCTTCAGACGTTCACATTGATTTATGCCACTCTTTTACATGCTCCTTTAAGTGAGGTTCAAAAAAACTCCCCAAACTACTCTTGAGTATCAGTAATTTTGGAAATGGTTTAAGTCTTATGCAGTCTTCTGCTCTTAGGTCATGGAAAAAAACCCAAATACTCTCAAGACTTTAGAGCAATGCAGCCTGCATCAGAAAACACTGACACTGTTCAGATTTCCCCGAACCTGATTCTCCCTTGAACTGCTTCATCCACACACCACAGAAAGAAAAATAATAAAAATAAACCCAAAGCACAAACAAAACACACCCCAAAACCCAAAACCAAACCACCCTCGAAACAGCCTGGGGTCTGACCCACATTATCTGGGATTTTGCCTGGCCACAAACAGCTAATAAAAACCCCAAACATATCACCACAAAAGCATTGGGACCTCAGAGACTCCTTTGTCTTTGAAGTAGGATGCTCCTGCACCTCATTCCTATCTAATTCTTGTCTCAGAAAAAAAAAAATCATCAATGTCAAGCAATTAAAGAGAAATGATACTCCACTACCCACTACAAAGAAAAAAATAGTGTGCTTCAGAGAAGGCCCTGAAGTTCCAGTGGAACGTGCATGGGCTTTCCTCAATCAGTTTCTTGGCCTAAAAAGGCTTCTTCATAGGCAAAGAATGAGGCTATAAAACTTACATGGTCTGTTTTAGCATACCAAGCATCAAAGTAGTGGTCAAAAAGTTGCCTAGTAAAAATAGTAAGTTTAATTTGTTTGAAACGCATCATTTGTGAGCAGCTCAGTTTTGACACTGGGATGTTTTTACCTTCTGTTACAGTTTAATGCAACCTTGCTTCTTTTTTATCCTGAGCAGCAAGTTAGGCAAAAGCAGAGACAAAGATCATTGCTACATTTAGCCTCATTGTTTAAAAGAGCCCTCTGCTAAATTAGTGTCGTTAGGGGAGAGAGGGTTGCAAATGCAAGAAGTACATTTCACTGAACTAACTGGGTAAAGTTTTCCATCCCAAGGGATGCCTGCAGAGGAATCCTAACAAGTAGAAAGTCTTCACCTCTGCACTGGCTTCTCCGTATTAGTAGAAGCAAGACTTTACCATGTGGTATGCATTTGTTATCCTCAGCTTCTGCTTGAGAACTGTACTTTTAAATCCTTTAAAATCCTGTTCCACTCTTTCCAGTTGAGGTTTTGTGAACTTGATATGGCCCAAGCCAATTAAGCCAGTTCACAACAGAAACAAAACACAACCTAAGTGGATGCATTTAGACAGGCAGTGCCTTTGCATTTCTCTGAAGTTTGCTATGCCATGAAGAAATGGAACTGCAAAGTTCAGTCACTAAGATATCAAATAAAATCAGGAATCTAATTATGGTGTTGTATCAAGGTAGCAGTGGTTATTCTGGTATTTAACTAAAACAAAAGCTGACATCGCTTACTTCTTTCCTGTACATAAGGACCTATATTTAAAAAGACTAAAACTGCAAACCACATGAGCAGAGCCACCGTTCTGGCTGTTTTCCTGCTACTGGCATACCTCTCCAGAAATAAAGTGTTTTCCTCCAAATAAACAAAAGGAGGTACAGTATTTTGGGCAGTTTGTCACTGTATATATTATGCCAGTTATAGCAATTTTTACACAAGGAATAAAAAATAAGTTACAATTAACATTAAAAAAAATACTTATTCCAGTTCTCCATAAAATACCTTTTTTATGAAGTAAAAATGTACACTGGGTATTCAAGTTACACTGTTACAATCTGTCATACTCTGGTTTGCAGAGTTTTTGTTAAAATAACCTAAAAAAATTGGATACAACATAAAACC